GACTCGCGAGATGGTCGCGACTCGCGAGAAGGTCACGACTCGCGAGTCCAACAGAGCCGAAAAGACGAGTTCTGCGAGACGAGTCGTGACTCGCGAGTCCATGTCTCGACTTGTGAGACAAGTCGCGACTCGCGAGTCAGGTCGCGAGTTTCCCCAGATTTTATATATTATCGAAGACGTGCGACTCGCGAGATGTCGCGACTCGCGACTCGACAAAAGTGAATGTCGCGACTCGCGACTTAAGTCGCGAGTGATCGGCGCGATTTTCAAGGTCGGGTTTTTAACATCAGAATTTCGACCTAGACCTCATTATACACATTCCAGACTTCATTTTTACACTTTTTCTCTGGAGAAACTCATTCCTTTTGATGTTTTTACTCTTTTGATTGGATTTTAGAGATCAAAACTCTATTTTCCTTGCTTTGGATTGGATGTTTTTGGATTCAACATTGAACTATCATTATTAGTCGTAAGTTTTATTTTCTCAATTGTGAGATTGATGATGATGGCTTGGGTTTGTATGAATTTTGATGTTGAATTCCATATGAGTAGCTAAACCTATACGCTAGGGATAGGGGATGATTGATTAGGTTCGATTATAATTGCTTGTTCTTAATTCTTCATATCTATTCAAGTTGTTCTTATTCTAGGGTTAGTAGATTGATCACCTTTCTAACCTAATTAATCAACGTGTAGAACCGAGAGGGGAGACGTTGGTCGATATAGGCTTGTTTAGAGTAGACTTGTTCGTAATAGTATTGTCTATGGGTTGTTGGAATTGATAGTTGATCGTGTACGTTCACTCTCTTGTTACGAAGAGTTATTAAGAGTGAGCCTCTGGACGAGAAACGGTTCAAGTCCTTTAACCGAGCAATTGATTGCCGGTAGTTGTGTTAGAACTGAAAGCAATTATCCCCGATTCCCTAGCTCTTTAATCATTTGAGTAAACTCGTTTGCTATTTAAATCGCTTTTCATTTATTTTCAAGTCGCTAGTTATAATTAAAATCAAAACATTTGAATAGAGTGTTTTTTTCTTTTCTTTCGCGTGATCGAAAAATCGTACAATTGAATCCGGCTAACCTTCCTTGCGATACGACCCGGGGAATGAATATTTCGATTCTACTCTGGTAAAAAAACTTACAACAGCTGTCTTTTAATAGGTTAACTCCTATGCATCGTAAAAATAAACGTTGTCACTATTTCATCACACCTTGGTAATATCTTCAAAGATTTCGAATGAGAAGTTTACAGTACCTTAAATTCCAATACACCGCTAGAAAACAAAGACAAACACCAACCAAATTAAAATGATTCATGCCCAAAAAGCACATTTTTCAGGTGGGGTCTCAATAACAACAAAAACTGAACACATTCGCAACACATCCCAAAGTTTTAAAGACACATAACCTTTCACCAAAAGCCCGCCAAAAGTCACGACGTGCCACTGCCACATGTCATGGAACTCTTGGTCTACTGTCCCAAGCCTCTCTCGCCTCCAGAAGATGAGGGCAGTATCTCCGCGCCGAGATTTTCACCTGCTCGGCAAACGGCTTATGCCCATTCCGCCCCAAATGTAAAGCCATCCGATTCCAACGCTTTCGGAACACTTTC